AGTAATAACAATAATACTAATAATAATACAAATACTAATAATTAAAATAATAATATAATAATAATAACACTAAGAAGAACAGGAGGATGATGATGAGGAGGAGGAGGAGGAAGAAGAAGCAGAAGAGGAGGAGGAGCGAGGAGGAGCGAGGAGGAGCGTGGATGAGGAGGAGGAGGAGGAGGAGGAGGCTGAGAGGGGAAGTATAGGAGGAGGAGGAGGAGGCGGAAGGGAGGAGGAGGAGGAGGAGGGAGGAATGAGGAGGAAGGAGTGAGGAGGAGCGTGGAGGAGGAGGAGGAGCAGGAGGAGGAGGTCAAGAGGAGGAGGAGGTCAGGAGGTCAGGAGGAGGAGGAGGAGGAGGAGGAGGAGGAGGAGGAGGAGGAGGAGGAGGAGGAGGAGGAGGAGGTCAGGAGGAGGAGGAGGAGGACGGCGAGCAGGTCGGCGTGCTGCGCTCCGTGCTCGACGCCGCGGCGGAGTCGCGCGCCGTCGGCCGGCTGGCCGACGCGGGGCGGGTGCTGCTTGCTGGGCACTCGCGGGGCGCCAAGCTGTCCAGCCTTGCGGCCCTGGCCGACGATCGCGTGCAGGGCCTGTGCCTGCTGGACCCGGTCGACAATACCAGGTGGGCGACGAGAACAATGATCGAAGGAGAACAACACGCCATAAACATATTTTTTTTGCGCTCCGCGCGGGTTTTTCGGATCCGCGCTGGGCCCTCCCTGGCGGTGCCTCCGGCGCCGCCCCTGGCGCGCTCGAGGGGGCCCAGCGCAGATCCAAGAAATCCGCGCGGAGCGCCAAACATTTACGTCTATATGGCGTTCTCTCTTCTTCTGAAGTGGGAACAGACATGCTTCGTCTCGAAGTTGCGCAACTCACGTAGGCTGTGTCTACGATTCTCAAGCACGACGCAGGTATCAGGAGGGGAAAAGACACACAGACACAATTTATCGTCGACTCCCAGGAAAATATGGGAAAATATGCAAAGTGGGGGGGAAGACAAAAACCACGAAATTACAAGAAAATATGGGGAATATTCATATTTGTGTGTATTTATTTGTGTGTCCTTGGGCCCCTTCAAGGTAGTATAATCTTGGTGACGTGACTACTGCTTGCTTGGCTCGCTCGCGGGCGATCCGAGCGGCGCAAATCAAAGGGGATCGTCTGCACCGGCACTGGCGCGTCGGCTGCCCGCGTAGGAGGCTCGGGCGCGGGCGCCCCTGCTCCAGGCTTACGCCGGGCCTGTCCCTCTACAGGAGGAGTGCTCAGAGATTCGTAGTCAAAAAATAGTCTGGGGACGTTTTTTTGTTTTTTTTTTTTTTTTTTTTGTTTTTTTTGAGGGGGGTATTAGTTGAATATTTGCTCGCTACATTTTTCGTCCACGATCCGTCTGTAGGGGGACGCGCCCGACCTAACTCCAGGTGTGGCGTGCCGTGCTGGCGGCCCGCGTAAGTGGCGGCGTGAGGTCGTCATGAGCCACCTCGCGTGAGAGCCGCTTTTTGGGTCGTCGCGCAGAGGTGGACAGAGGGCCGCCCGGGCTTCCCGTCGGCGTGCGAGGCGATGCACAGGACTCGGGAGGAAAAGAAACACACAGACACAATTGATCGTCGATCCCCAGCCCCCCCCCCTCCTCTTCCTCCTCTCCCCTCGCACCTCGTCCTCCTCCTCCTCGCCCCTCCTGCTCCCTAGCGTCCTTCGCCACCTGCTCAACATCCTCGTCGTCCTCGTCGTCGCCGTCTTCAGGGTCGGCGGCACCGGCCGGAAGGCCTTCGCAATACGGTTGAATAGGGGAAGTGGGGGGAGGGCGAGAGTCCAGAAATCATGTTTGAACATACGGGGGATCTCCTGGGATCTGTGTCTGTTTGTTTGTGTGTCCCTGGGCCCTGTCAAGGACTCAGGAGGGAAAGAGACACCCAGGCACAAGTGATCGTCCATCCCCAGGGAAAAAGTACGGGAACATAGGGAAAGTGGGGGGGAGGGGAAACGAGAGTCAAGAGAAAACATGTGATTTTTGCGTGGGACGTCTCCTGGGATCTGTGTCTACTTGTGATCCAGGGATTCGTGTCTACCTGGTTTGTTGGCGTGCCCCTTTGTTGGCCCCCCTCGAGGACCTCGGTGGCCCGGCCGCTGCCTGTGGCCATCGTCGGCGCGGGCGCCGGGGGCGAGTGCGCCCCCGGGCAGGCCAACTACCTCGCCTTCTTCGCCGCCGCCGAGGGCCCCGCGTGGCTCGCGGTGCTGCCGGCCGCTGGGGTCGGCAAAGAGGGGGGAGATGGCCAGGGTTAGGTCGGGCCTGTCCCTCTGCAGGAGGTAACTTCAAACATAGTTTCAAGAGAATGAGGGGACATTTTTTTTTCAATATTTTTGGACCACTTTGGGGATTACTTGTGGCTATTTTCGATTTCTCGTCCAAAATGCCCCTGTAGGAGGACAGACCCGACTTAAGACTAGGGTGTGTGTGGATATCATGGCGTGGGCCACGATGTTTCCTCAGATCTCATGGCGCCTCTTCTTATTTCGTGGCGTCCCCAGCCCCCCCCCCCCCCCTTGGGCCGCGCACGTGCCGCCGGTCATGATTTGCACCCCCCCCTCTTGGACGCCCCTCTCTTGGCCGCCCTTGAGGCCGCGGGGCACGCGCAGTTCCTCGACCGCGCGGGCGGCCGCGTCGAGCGGGCCATCTTGGTGGGCCCATTCTCCACCACCACCACCACCACCACGCCCACCACCCCGCCACCCCCACCGCCACCACCACCACCTCCGCCACCACCACCACCACCCACCACACCACCACCACCACCACCACCACCACCACCACCACCACCACCATAGGCAGGACTGGGGAGGAGGGAGGATGGGGAGGTCCTCCTCCTCCTCCTCCTCCTCCTCTTCCTCCTCTTCCTCCTCTTCCTCCTCTTCCTCCTCCTCCTCCTCTTCCCTTTCCCGCAAATGGTAGTGGTAGTCGGGGCTGTCCCTCTACAGGAGGAATATCCAAGAATAGTCAAAAACTAGTCCAGGGGCGATTTTGCGACTGTTTTCGATCATTTTGGAGTATTATTTGGCTACCTTTATTTTTTCGTCCAGAATCACCCTGTAGGGGGACAGGCCCGATTTAACACCACTACCATGTGCAGGACGGGGGAGGAGGGAGGATGGGGAGGTCCTCCTATCTCCTCCTCCTCCTCCTTCTCCTCTCCTCCTCCTCCTCCTCCTCCTCCTCCTCCTCCTCCTCCTCCTCCTCCTCCTCCTCCTCCTCCTCTCCCCTCCTCCTCCTCCTCCTCCTCCTCCTCCTCCTCCTCCTCCTCCTCCTCCTCCTCCTCCTCCTCCTCTCCTACATCTGGTAGCGGCGGTGTAGAAATCGGCCCCTCGCGTCTGCGGCTCGGGCGGCGCGGACGACGCCCTCGTGCTCTCCGCGGCCGCGGCGGTCACCCTGGCGTGGACGGAGGTCGCGCTCGGGACGCCGGGCGCGCGGCAGGGGCCCGGGGCCAGGACTCGGGCGCTCGAGAGTCAGGAGGGGAAGAAACACATTATTCCAGTGCGACCCTACCTAGGAGTTGGAGGATCTAGGAAAGCAACATCGATATGAAGCTAAGTTAAGCTAAGATGAATCTAAACTAAGATGAAATAAGCTAAGCTAAGATGAGATAAGCAACGCTAAGCTAAGGGAACGTCACTGGGGGAACCGCGGGGCGGATACTGGGGGAACCGCCCAGGGCGAGTTACACTGCCCGGCCTTTTAAGCATAACGAGTAAGAACCCTTCTAGGCAGAGCCTAGGTAGGGAACAGACACAATTCATCGTCGATTCCCCAGGAAAGTATGGGAAAATATGGAAAGTGCGGGGGAAGGCAGAAGCCCAGAAAATATGGGAGAATATGGGGAATATGTTTTATTGAGTGTATTTATTTGTATGTCCCAGGGCCCCTTCAAAGAGAGCTGGGCGCAGGTGCACTTCCCGCCTGGCCTTGTCCGGGGCCCAGGATGGGCCCGTCCAGGGTCGGAGCATGCCTCGCCCCTGCTAAGCGGGGTGGTAGTGAAGGGTGGGGGGTGGACAGAACCCCCAACAGTGACACGTCGATTAGTGAATTGTCCGTTTTCGGTTCTCGAGAGGGCGCCGCGGCCGTTATTTTCCAGGCTTGCGCCCGCCAGGTTTGGGCCTCAGGTCGTTTTCACTAAACCACGTTTTACTAAAGGGGGCCTGTCCATCCCCGAAGTATGCCTAGCCCCTGCTAAGCGGGGTGGTAGTTCAGGGGCCTCTTCAGGCGAGAACGGGGCGACTGGGCATTCACCTCGCACTGGTGCGTGATAAATGCGGGCGGCAAAGACGTCGAGACAGCATCGTAACTCTGGGCGGGGGGGGGTCATCTCGCACCCGTGCGCGGCAGATCCATTTTTCGAAGACACCACTGAAAACGCACTCTTGGCTACCGTCCCGTTTACTAACGCCCCGTTTGCAGGGGCTTGGGTATGTGCGCAGATGTCTCTTTCTTCCAAGGACGCTGGAGCAGGACGCCGCCAGGGTCGAGGTCGCACGGCTGAGCCACCTGAGCGTGCAGAGCGCCGCGCGGCGGCGGCTGGCGGTGTCGGCCAGTGCGGCCGCCGCGCGGACGACCGACATGCTGCAGAGGAGGGGCCTCGAGGTGGAGAGTTCGCTGAAGGCGTGACGTGCTTTGCGTGGGGCCACCGCACCTTGGAGCCGGCTGGGGGTTTGATCGGACGGGGCTAGGACGAGGATAGACATAAATTCGTTCCAGAGCGTTCTGGAACGCTCTCAGAGCGTTCTGGAACACTGTGAGAAGGCCGCGGCGCCCGAGACATCCTCCAGAGCCGCCGGATCTCAGAGATTCTCGGTTTATCCTCACCCGATTTTATCCTCGTCCTGGCTTCGTCTTGTTGGAGGTGATTTTTCAATCCCAGGATTTTTTGAGGGTCGGGGGTGACGGAACATGTATACATCAGGATCCCATGAACACCAGGATCCGCTTTCGTGTGCGAATTGCAGTGCGGGGCCAGAAAAAAACGTCGGGGTATAGAGTTTGGCTCTCTCGTTCTGGCCAGCAGGAAGGGTGGTGGTGGGGAGGAGCAGGAGGAGGAGGAGGAAGAGGAGGAAAAGGAGGAGGAGGACGAACGACTTGGACGAGACGAGAGGAGGAGGAGGAAAAGGAGAGGAAGGAAGGGAGGAAGGAGGAGGAGGGCGAGGAGGAGGAGGAGGAGGAGGAGGCGGAGGAGGAGGAGGAGGAGGAGGAGGAACAGGAGGAGGATGAGGAGGCGGAAGGAGAAGGAGGAGGAAAACCATGTGGCCGAGAAGGGGCGGGACCGTCGCCGCCCATCGGTCGCCCCGTCGGTCGTGGCTCGCGCGCGGGCCATCAAAGACAAAGGAAGACAAGAAGGCCGCCGCAGCGGCCAGGACTCTAAAGACGCCCAGGGGGCGGGAGGAGTCTTGGCATCGACGTCTACGAACCCTGCGTGGACAAGGTCGTCTTCTGCTACGAGTGGTTGCAGTTGCCAGCCGCCTCAGCAGCCACCACAGCGCCCAGCAGCCGCAGCGCCAGCAGCAGCAGCAACCCTTGAGTGAGGCCTACGACATGTCGCGCGCAGCTGCCAACGCTGGCCAGAGGAAGAGGTCATCGGGCCCCGCAGTCGGCAAGAGCCCATGGCCATGGCGTGCGCAGCATGAACGCAGCACCCAGCGCAACCAGCATCACCAGACCAGCGCAGGGTGGACCCATAAGAAGTGGCAGGCCTCGGTCTGGTCCCAAGGCCACTTGGCAGCAGAACAAGTGGCACGAGGATGCGCCTACCAGCAGACGCAGACACAGTCGCCGCCCGACAGGCGTCGCAGCCCGGGCAGCAGGACGGCAGGCGCCCCGGCCACAGCAGCAGAGCAGCTTCACTGAGAAGCAGCGCGCCGTGTTCGACATGGTGTTGCCAGTGTCCTACGAGGAGGCGCAGGATCACGAGTCGTGGAGCTCGCCGCCGTCCGACCCAGAGATGCTCGAGGTTTGGCGGAAGACTCGTAGCCGGCGCCTCGCCAGATTGGCGGACAACATCGCAGGGGCCCGATCCCCAGGTGTGGCTGCCACCACCCAGGAGTATGAAGCAGCGGTCACGGCGGCGAACATCACATTCGTGGTCCCGCCAAAGGAGAGGCTCCGCCAGCTGCGCACCACCCTGGAGCGGGCCGAAGAGGAGCTCACCAGCCTCCAGGCCAGGATTGCAGCGCAGCTCGACGAGGAGGCGAAGGCCACGAGGGTCGCGCGGGTATACAAGGTGCTGATCCGCGAGACCAAGGACATGATGGCGAGGGCCGCAGCCAGTGGCCCGCCTTCGGAGTCGGAAGCCGAAGCAGATGCGGAACAGGCTGGGCGGAGCGGAAGCGGAGGAAGAGGACGTGCTCACATGCCGCATCCAGCGCCAGCCAGGCCCTCCAGGGTGACGCAGTTGCAGGGCCCAGGGTCCCCGCCGAAGGCAGTGGCCCGCCCTGGGCCACCAGCGGCTCCTCAGCCTGCGGGCCATCCAGAGGGGTCTGCAAATCTGAAAGCCCAGCTGATGGAGATGGAGCAGAGTCGCGTGGCTAGACTGCGCAACTGCGAGCGGGCCATGGCTCAGAAGACCTCGCGCGCAGTCTCCGAGCAGCTGGGGCGCCAACAGCGAGCTTACCAACGCGAAGTGGACGACGTCAGGAGTGCCGCCCACCGAGAACTCGATCACGAGCAGGCCGCATACCGCAAGTGGCAGAGCGGGGGCCAGCAGCACCAGCGGGACGAGGCCGGCGCAGCACTGCGGCAGATGCAGCGCCACCTCGTCATGCAGGCCCAGGAGGCACTCCATGAGCAGAGCAAGGCTAGGCGAGGCGAGGGGGAGTTCCTGCAGAGGGCGCGCAGAGAGAGAGAGAGAGAGAGAGAGAGAGAGAGAGAGAGAGAGAGAGAGAGAGAGAGAGAGAGAGAGAGAGAGAGAGAGAGAGAGGGAGAGAGAGAGAGAGAGAGAGAGAGAGAGAGAGGAGATGAGAGAGAGAGAGAGAGAGAGAGAGAGAGAGAGAGAGAGAGAAGTAGAGAGAGAGACAGAGAGAGAGAGAGAGAGAGAGGAGAGAGAGAGAGAGACAGAGAGAGAGAGAGAGAGAGAGAGAGAGAGAGAGAGAGAGAGATAGAGAGACAGAGAGAGAGAGAGAGAGAGAGAGAGACAGAGAGAGACAGAGAGAGAGACAGAGAGAGAGAGAGAGAGAGAGAGAGAGAGAGAGAGACAGAGAGAGAGAGAGAGAGAGAGAGAGAGAGCGCGGTGCCATTAGGCCCGAGCTGAGCTGGAGGGTGAAGCGCTAGCCCTCGCCCAACAGGCGCGAGCTTCGGAGGCGAAGCGCGCGGCGGAGCTGTGCCAACAGGAGGCCCAGGTGGGATAACATGTGATCCTCGAACTCAAGGCCATGCAGGCGGTCATGGAGACGCACCGCGCGCAGCAGGAGAGACGCCTCGTCGAGTTTGGCATGTAGCAGGCCGAGGCCAACCAGCAAGGCAATCGGCGCGTCGAGGAGGGGGCCCGGCAAGCGCGTGAAGACCACCGCCAGTGCATGGTTGCCGTCGGCCAGGCAGAGTTGGAGGAGCACCGTGCCAGCCACCGCCGCCTCGAGCAGCAGGCGGAGCAAGCGCAGCGCGACGCCTGCCAGCACCTGCAGTGGGTC